ATAATAAGACTTCTTATTCCATCATCTGACTACCTTGGAGACTGTACTGAGTACAAGTCCCCATTTCAGGCAACGCTGTAATCTGTCAATCTGGTCAAGCCCACCTTTCTTCATGGTGGGAAAGTCCACGGTCTTTGTCACTAAGCATTCAGCAAGTACAAGCTTTCATTTATCTACTTATGTTAAGAAGCAGTAAAGTATAGCGACAAGCAGTACTCATTTTGGAATCAGACTATGTGAGTTTGAATCCTGGCTCTGCCACTTATGAGCCATGTAATCTTGATCCTGCTGCTTAAACTGTCTGTGCCTCAGTTTCCTCACATGTAAAATGAATATAAACATACTTCCTTAGAGGACTGTTGTGAGGATTAATTTAATTAATACATGTAAAGTGCTTAGAACAGTAAACAGCACATATTGATATATAATTGTTTGCTTCATTATTATTCACATATAAAACATTCCTATGGATGATAAAAAAGCAATCTGCCAGGAATTATTAGGATAAAAATAAAATCAGCAGTAAAGCCTTAGAATATATTCAGAAATAAAAGCTCAGATAACAAAATAAATGTTGGTTTCAAGATATTAAGGCATTTAAAAACTATTTCTCTGTCTCACAATGTTCAATCTATCAGCTGTTGTTAAACATCATGGCAAGGCCCATGACGGCCCGCAGTGAATCACCCCACACCTCTTGTCAGAGAGAGCTCTATGTGGTCACTCTCTCTCTTATAGTGGATATGGAATGATTCTTCTCATCCTGCCCGACTTTAAAAAATACAAACCAAAAAACAGGTTTCAGTCCATCATTCTTAAAGCAAGTTTTATTCCTTCCTTAGATCAGAAACAACTTCTCCCCTGAAGTTATATATGTGTAGATTTTTACATAATTTTAAAAATTATGAGTAAAAAGAGTACACTCAGGGATTTCCTCACATCTAATGTCTTGCTTTCTTATACCTTCTCATGTTCTAAGGCAGGTATGTAAACAGTAGCTGTCTGTCCCCTTGTGATATCTAAATAAATCTCCCCTTGAAGAAAGGAAAGAGAAGTATGAATAGTTTCTTCCTAAAGAACTGGTCTAAATTTACTAAGAGTTGTCAGTGCTAAGTTTTCTTTACAACACAAGATAGTAGGTGAACAGCATAGGTACAGTAATGTTTATTAGAGTTAAATGTTCACTCTGAGAAACATACTGAAAACAGCACAGTCAATTTATCCTTCAGCATTATGTGTAAAAACTATGTGTCCTGAATTTTCTGATATGTACGTGGGCCTACGAAAACTACCCTCTCTACTAGTTTACCAAAAAACAATTCATAAATGGATTTACACTAAAATCAGTTCAATGAAAAAATGTTATAGTCCTACTGACTTTGAAACAATTCAAAATATATTAACTCTATTTCAAATTATTACCCATTCAAGATGATCAATTCTATAAATCTCCAATGTAAAGACATTATAATTTTCTATAGTAATCTCTATATTACATAATCATCAACTTTTGTCATTAATACTTTCTGTACCACAGAATGTCAAAAAACTAACCAATAGGTAATTAATTATATAACCTTTATTCTTAACAAACTTACCTAGCCTTAAGCACTGTCGCATTAAACCTCCAGAAGACATGTTTTTTTCGGCTTCAATCTCACTAAAATTTAGAGAGCTGGCGAATACAAGTACATCAACCATGGCCATCAGTCGGCTGAGGAAAGTTACCGCCGTCTCAGCTGACATGCCTTGTGTCACTTCAATGTTTTCCAACTCCGTCTTTAAAAAGGAGAAGATTTAAGTCTTTTTTAAATTTGAAAACATAGTATATGTACATACATGCTACACATGAACAGTAGTTTAGTAAATTTAGATATTTAGTATAGTATATAGTAAATATAGTATATAGTAAATATCTATATAGTAAATATAGATCTTTAGTAGTTTAGTATATTTCAGAAATGGAATAAATTATAATCTAATTCCATATATCATAACAGCTGGTTATCAGTTCAATTAGTTTACCTACGAATTATCCTTGAATAAAGGAAAAGTCTATTTTTAAAATCAGTGTTAGATTTAAATGTCACTACTTGCAAAACTACATTCCAAACTAAAGATCATGTCTCAAAGATATTTAAAAATAATAGCACATACATATATACTAGTTTTATTTCTTTTATTATATTAGTTAACAGAGACATAAAATTGATCTATCCTAAAATCCTCACTCTTGTTTATAAAAAGATAGGTGTTAATTTTTCTTTCCTATAAATGTATGATGAGCAATAGGAAAAATATATGGCACTATCATTTGGGAACAAAATGAGACAACAG